ATTACAGAAAATTGAAGAAAAATATTGAAGACAAAATAAGATGGAGATCTCCTATGTTTATGTATTGGCAGAATTAATATTGTTAACTACCAAAAGCAATATACAGATTCAGTGCAATCCCCACTAAAATACCAATGACTTTCTTTACAGAACTAGAAACAACAGTTCTAAAATTTATTTGGAAAATGAAAGACTCAGAATAGCCAAAGCACTTTTAAGCCAAAAAAGCAATACTATAGGCATCACAATACCTGACTTCAAATTATACTACAGAACTATAGTAACAAAAATTGCATGGTACTGGCATAAGAATATACTCATAGACTATGGTACAGAATAGAAGACAGAGGGATAAACTCATGTACCTATAGAGATCTGATCCTTGACAGAGGTGTCAAATACACATTAGAGAACAGATAGTCTTTTTTTTTTTTTTAAATGTGTCTGTGTGTGTGTGTGTGTGTGTGTGTGTGTGTGTGTGTACCAGGGATTGAACCCAGGGTGCTTAACCACTGCACCACATCCCCAGTCCTTTTTTTTTTTTTTTAAATATTTATTTTTTAGTATTTGGCGGACACAACATCTTTGTCTGTATGTGGTGCTGAGGATCGAACCCGGGCGGCACACATGCCAGGCGAGCGTGCTACTGCTTGAACCACATCCCCAGCCCCTCCCCAGTCCTTTTTATGTTTAATTTTGAGATAGGGTCTGGCCTGGTTGCTCTGGGCCTTGTTAAGTTACTAAACCTGGCTTTGAAAACTTGCAATTCACCTGCCTCAGCCTCCCAAACTGCTGGAATTACAAGTGTGCACCACTCACTTGGCCAGATAATTTTTCCAACAAATGGTGCTAGGAAAACTGGTAATCTATAGGTAGAAGTATGAAATTAGACTCTTGTCTCTTACTCTGTACAAAAATCATCTCAAAATGTATCAAAGACCTAGAAATTAGACCAGAAACTATGCAACTCCTAGAAGAAAATGTAGGTTCAACAGTCCAGAATATAGACACAGATTATGACTTTCATTTTGTTTGTTTTTTTTTTTTTTGGGTGCTGGGGATTGAACCCAGGGCCTTGTGCATATAAGGCAAGCACTCTACCAACTGAGCTATATCCCCAACCTAGCCAATGACTTTCTTGATAGGAACACTAAAGCTTAGGAAATAATACCAAGAATTAATAAATGGGATGTCATCCACTTAAAAAGCTTCTGCACAGCAAAGCAAACAATTAAGAGAGGGTTGGGATTGAGTACAACTAAAAATTAAATATTAAAAAAACATGCTTTTTCTCCTATGCCATATAGCTTTGATTTTTCTTCCTTAAGTAGCACATTTCAGCAGAACAACAGAAGATTCAGGGTTGAGTCTTAGCACCCAAGTAAATTTAGACAAGTTACTATACCTCTGTGAGCCTCACGGTTTTGTTTGTTTGTTTGTTTGTTTTTAGTACTGAGGCTTGAACCCAGGGGTGCTTAACCACTGAGTCACATCTCCCAGCCCTTTTTAATATTTTATTTAGAGACAGGGTCTCACTGAATTGCTATCTGCCTCACTCACTAAATTGCAGAGGCTGGCAATTGAACTCACTATTCTCCTGCCTCCGCCTCTCCAGCCACTGGGATTACAGGTGTGCACCACTGTGCCTAGCAAGCCTCTGTTTTATCATTTATGAAATGGGGCCAAAATACAAGGGTAATTGTATATTAAAATAACTACCAAATTAAAACCAAATAAATTACAATGAAAATATAGGCTAAGCCCTGGACAAGGAAAGTTGTTTCTGCCTTTTTAGAGAGATGAGCAATTAAGTCACCTTTGAACTGTTGAGGCTCAAATCAGGAAAGTTATAAGTCCTGGATAGGAAAATCTGAAGAAGAAAGAGAGCAGGGATGGGTAGCAGATTGGCAGAGTCAGGGTGAGGCATAGCTGTAGGATGGGCTTGACTCATGAGGACACTTGGGAGTTTATGGTTAGTCTAGTGGGCCACTGTTAGGCCAATACAACACATACACTGAATGGATAATTTAAAAAATTATTAACAGTTTTCTTAATTATTTATTCAGATCAGGTTCTAAGCCATGTAGTTTTGCCATATTTTTTCAGAGCCTTCTTTATTTCCTTGATTTTGATAAAGGATTGCTTTTCCCATCTTGGTCATTGATTGTATGCTGATATATCTTTGAATCATTCATGGTACTTTATCCTCAGTAAATAATTTTTATGGATGATGATATAAATTTTTTGAACTAAATTATAAACAACTATATTTTCATTCTTCCTTATTTCTAAAATTTTATTTATTTTTAATTTTAAAAAAACATATGACAGTAGAATGCATTACAATTCTTATTACATCTATACAGCAGAATTTTTCATATCTCTGGTTATATATAAAGTATGTCCACACCAATTAGTGTCTTCATACATGTGCTTTGGATAATGATGTCCATCACATTCCACCATCCTTGCTAACCACCTTCCCTCTCTCTTCCCCTCCCACCCCTCTACCGTATTTAGAGTTTGTCTATTCCTCCATACCCCACTACGAATCAGCCTCCTTATATCAGAGAAAACATTCTGCATTTGTTTTTTTTGGGATTGGCTAACTTCACTTAGCATTATCTTCTCCAATGCCATCCATTTACCTGCAAATGCCATGATTTTATTCTCTTTTATTGCCGAGTAATATTCCATTGTGTAATATGCCACATTTTTATCCATTTGTTTACTGAAGGGCATCTAGGTTGGTTCCATATTTAGCTATTGTGAATTGTGCTGCTACAAACATTGATGTGGCTGTGTCCCTGTAGTATGCTGTTTTATTTTTTTAACTTTTTATAATAACAAAAATGCTGGAAAAAATAGTACAGTGGACATCTTCATTTAAATTCAACAATTGTTAACATTTTGCCACATTTGCTTTAGCCTTTACTCTGTACAATAATTTAAATACACATACTTATAACTATACTATATGTGCATATGTATTTATAAAGTATTTGATAGCATGACACTTAATCCATAAAACTTCAGCATGTATCGTTAAGAATAAGGACATCCTCCAATATAAGTATTATTACTACTTTTTTTTTCCTCCTGGTACTGAAGATTGAACCCAGGGGCACTTTGCCACTGAGTTATATCCCCAGCCCTTTTTGTTTGTTATTTTGAGGTCTCACTATGTTGCTTAGGGTCTCACTAAATTGCTGAGGCTAGGTTTGAATTTTCAATCCTCCTGCCTCAGCCTCCTGAGTTGCTAGGATTACAGTGTGTACCACCATGCACAGATATGTTATTACTACTTCTTTTTTGAAAAATATTGTTTAGTTTTCAATGGACCTTTATTTTATTTATTTTTATGTGGTGCTGAGAATTGAACGCAGTGCCTCACACATGCTAGGCAAGTGAGTAGGTGATTTTGGCCTTTCATGGACATGTGATGATGACAAAAGACATTTTTGGTTGTTACAACTCCGGGGCTCTACCACTGAGCCCCAGCCCCCTTGTTACTACTTCTAATATCTGTACAATATTCAAATTTCTCCAATGGGTTCAACAAATATCTGTTATAGTTTTGAAGATCTAGTCAAAGTTTTCATATTGTTGTGTCTCTTTTGTCTTTTTGATTCTAAATAGTTTTTCACCTTTTATTTTCTTTTTATTACTTTAACTTTTTGTAGGTTTCAGGCTATTTTTCTTATGTTCTACATTGTGGGGTTTTTTGTTTGTTTCCTCATGGTGTCCCTTAACTTGCTAGATTCCTTTTCTTTTATAAATTTGATGTTAGCATACAGATGCAATTATACACAGGTTAATAAAATACACAGGTTTTTTAAAAAAATATTTTATTCTCTAGTTTTTTTAGTTGGACACAATGTCTTTTTTTTGTTTTTGGTGCTGGGGATGTGAGGCAAGCACTCTACCAACTGAGCTATAGCCCCAGCCCCAGGTGAACACAATATCTTTATTTTATTTTTATGTGGTGCTAAGGATTGAACCCAGTGCCTCATGCATGTCAGGCAAGTATTCTACCACTGAGCCACAACCCCAGCCCTACAGGTAAAGTTTATGATGTCATTCTGTCCCATTAATAATGATGTTACATTTAGTCACATGGTTAAGTTAGTGATTTTCTATCATAAGATACATTTTCCCATTTGTGGTTACAAATAATCTGTTCAGTGATACTTTAATATTATGTAGATATTCTTCACTCAATAATTACATACATTTATTTGTCTTACTTGGTTTCCCCTAATGTATCATTGATTAATATTCATAGGTTAAAATCAGAAGACATCTCTATGTAGATTAGTAGGTCTCCAGTGTGGGTGGTTTTGGCCTTTCATGGACACTTGATGATGACAGAAGACATTTTTGGTTGTTACAACTCCGGGGTAGTGGGCAGATGAGCTACTGATATCTTGTGGGTAGAAGCCAGGGATACTGTTAGGCATCCTATAGCACACAGGGCCACCCCACATAGGGAAGAATCACTCAGCCTGGAAGGTCAATAATTCTGCTGTTGAGAAAATTTAACCTAGGTGCTTCTTTCTCACACACAGTTCATTGAACTTTTGAAGGTTTTATTAAAGTTTTAGAGTCTATCTTCAGCCATGGTAGAATCCAAGCAGATGTTAGAATCCATTGACACTTACCCAAGATTCAAACCAAGCAGATTTTTACTACCTACCTGTTCTTTTTATTTATTTATTTATTTGGTTGTCAATGGACTTTATTTATATGCGGTGCTGAGAATCAAACTCATTGCCTCACACACGCTAGGCAAGAACTCTACCACTGAGCTACAACCCCAGCCCCTACCTACAAGTTCTTTTTATTTTCTTTGTAGGTATCTTCTTAAGAAGGATTTAAATTGCTTTCTCTATTCTCAGTAAACTAATATAAGGATAAAAATGTCAAAACAAAACTCAGAATGAACATGTCAAAGCATTTGGTATGCTTTTGTTTTTTCTAGATGAGTTTGGAATGTCATCTTAAAAGCCTAAGAGCCAGAGAAGAGAAAATGGAGAAATACCAAGCCAAGTTAAGAATTCACTGTTACTAAAATGGCTCAGAGAGAATGACCAGAGTTCAAGAAGGGGCAGGGGAGTGCAGAGGGCATTTCCACTCTCACACCTGTAAGTTATTAATGACCTTTGAAGTGATTGTTGATGGAAGAACTTGTACATTTGAGCTGCTTCACATGTATACTGAGTGTATTCAGAGGACTGTCTAGCTTCTGGAGCTTTGGAATATCTTCAGGCTGAATCAGAGATCAAACAGCAAAACCCATGACTTGGGAATATCATGTAGCCATGTGACATGTGGAAGGACCCAGAGTATGAGAACCAATGCCTAAATGGCTATGCTGTATATTTTTAACTCTGAGAAATGTAACATTGCTCACAACTTTTAAAATAGCAACCTCAGAGAATAATGTCCCAGAGTTCCAAGATAATTTAGTAGGAGGTATGTTTTTATACATTGTTTGCATTCATAAACCTGTTCATTGAATATTAGAACCCAAGTACCTTATTTTTCTCTGAATTTTCATTGGCCAGCTTTTACAGAATTTGCTTATTTTATATTTTGTACTCATGCACGTTACATTTCCTGTTGAGATCTGAGTCAACAATTTTCTTTGCATTTTATGAAGACTGAATGTCTGTACTAGAGAGCTAGCCCATGAATATACTCAGTATTACTATATTTCACTTTTAAAAGGAAGCAGCGAAATACATAGGTCAGTATCTTTATTTTTGTCCCCCTCCCCTTTTTTTCAGTATTGTGAATTAAACTTTCAAGGGAGCTTTACCACTGAGCTACATCCCTAGCCCTTTTTATTTTTATTTTTTGAGGTATTGGAGATTGAACCAAGGGGTGCTTTATCACTAAGCTAAAGTCCCCAGACTTTTTTGTTTTTTATTTTGAGACAGAGTCTAAGTTGCTTAGACCCTTGCTAAGTTGCTGAGGCTGGCCTTGAACTCGCAATCTTCCTGTTTAACCTCCTGAGCTGCTGTGATCACAAGTGTGTGCTACAGTGCCTGGCTCCCTGCCCTTTTTATTTTGAGACAGAGTCTTGCTAAATTACTCAGGCTGGCTTGGAACCTTCAATCCTCTTGCCTCCACTCCTACTTGTTGGGATTTCAGCAGGCACCACCACACCTCGCTCAATAATTTCATTCTATTGACAATTATTTGTTATTTCCTATATTTGCTCAATTTCTACAAAATATGAACGATGGAATAAAAATCTGTGACATGGTATAGATCATTAATCATCTCCATAAATGGGATGAGAGAATAAGGAAAGAAGAATGGGAAGATGATGATCTCAATTATTCTAATATCTGGGGTCCTATCATTTCTGTCAGCAATTTTTTTATCTTTGAAATTCTCTTTATTCTTTGTGAAAGAGATTAATTTAGAGCAGTATCAAAAGCTAACAAGGATAGTATAAGAAATGTATAGGATCATCTTATTCATGAATCACAAGTAAAATTTAAGCGAACTAAATCTGGTGATTCAGTCATTCAAAATGATCAAATTGGATTCATCCCAGGATTGCAAGTTAGTTTATCACTGGAAAGTTGACTTTACCATAATTAATATATGTAATTTATAAGGTTAAGAAAATAATTAAAAATTTTAATTTTAAATTTTACATGATAGTAGAATATATTTTGACATATTAGACAAATAAGGAATATAACTTTAAAACCATATTAGCATCTTAATGCAGAAAGGAAAAAAAAAACCTACTCTAAATAAGCTAGGAATATGAAGAAACTTCCACAACCCAATATAGTCCATCTCTGAGAAAACCACAGCAAATATACTTTACTCTTCTTTGTTTGAGATAGTCTTACAGTGTTGCCCAGGCTGGTCTTGAACTTGTGGGCTCAAGGGATTCTTCTCCAGCCTCCACCTACCATGTTTCCCAAATATACTTAATGGAGAAATGTTGGTGACATTCCTTTTATGCAGTATAGACAAGGATGGTCCACATTTTTATTTTAGAGTTATTCTCAAATATTATGAAAAGAAAAAGAAGGTATAATATTTGTGAAGAAGGAAACAACGTTATTTATAAATGATATGGTTATCACTCTATAAAAGCTTAATGATCAATAAAAGAATTATTAGGATGAATAGGATTATTTAACAAGATATTGCTGGATATGAAAGAAGTATTAAACACTCAAGTACATTTAAATACTAGGGACAAGTTGTTAGAAATATAAGTTTAAAAAAGATTCTGTTTATTATAGTACCAAAATTCATAAAGTACCTTAGAAAATGTAGCAAAAAAAAGTTTGTTCAAGAGATCTAAATAAATAGAGATAGTCTATGCGGATGATCAAAACCCAATGTTTTAAGAACACTAATTCTACCAAGAAAGTCACTAAAATTCATGCCTCCAACAGTTTTTCCTTTACTTAGAAGCTGAATCTATAATTGATATGAAGGAGGAGCCAAGGTCTAAGATTATCCAAGACACTCCTGAAGAAAAACAGTAAGGTTGTATTAGATCTTAGAATGTACTGTACAGGTATAGTAACTGGTACAATGTTTAATTGGCGCAAAGAGAGAAGTAGACCAGGGGAGCAAAATAGAGAACCCAGTGTCAGACCCCAACACAAACACACACACACACACACGGGGCTGGGGATGTGGCTCAAGCGGTAGCGCGCTCGCCTAGCATGCGTGCGGCCGGGGTTCGATCCTCAGCAGCACCACATACCAACAAAGATGTTGTGTCCGCCAAGAACTAAGAAAAAAAAAATAAATGTTAAATTTCTCTCTCTCTCTCTCTATCCCCCTCTGTCTCTCACTCTCTCTTTAAAAAAAAAAAACACACACACACACTTATAAAGGGGGGGTCGGAGAGAAAGAGTAAGGGCTTGCACATCAAGCAAGATAGTTGAAAGATAGTTGTTCAAAATATGGTCCAAGTACAGTTAACTATCCAAATGGAAGAAAAACAAAGGTCCCTACCCCCAAACATATACAAAAATCAACTCCCAATTAAAGATTTAAACAGGAAAGGCAAAGCCATAAAACTTTTATAAAGACAATCTGTCTATACAACTTCAGGATAAGGAAGAATTCTGTTAACAGAAAACAAAAAGTTGAAACCCAAAATGAAAGATTAGTTAACCTGATGTTAACAACAAAAGTGAATTTGTTTTTGTTTGGAGAAAAAATAAAGACATCATCTAAAATTTAGAGTGAAAAATATAACTTAAAGCTGGGAGAATATAATTGTAACACACATAACTGACAAATAATTAACATCCAGAATATATGGAAAAGTCTTACAGATCAATAAACAAATAAGCAAAAAGAACAAAAGACATGAGCATCATTTCATAAAAGAAAAACACAAACAACTCATAAGTATGTGCAACTCACTAGGCAAACTCATTACTATTGGGGGATGTGCAAATTAAAGCATAATAAGATAACATTCATATTTATCAGAATGTGAAAACTTTAAAGTTGGATAGTACCATATACTGACAAGGATTAGGGAGTAAAAGAATTTCTTATATGTGAGATGGCCCACTCTGTAATCCCAGTTACTGAGAAGGATAGGGCAGGGGAATACCATGTTCAAAGTCAGTGTTGGCAATTTAGCAAGACCCTGACTCAAAATGAAAAAATAGGCTGGGGATGTAACTGATAGGGCACTTGCCTAAATCTTGCATGAGGCCCTGGGTTCCATATCGAGAATTTAAAAAATGAAACAATAAAAAAAACTCATATGCATTTAGTAAGAATATACATTATTATTTTGTGGTACTGGAGATTGAACCCAGGGGTGCTCTATCAAGTAGCTGACATACAAGTCTGCACCACTGCACCAGCTGAGAATATAAATCATTACAATGACTTCAAAAAATATTTTGGCATTGTCTAGCAATCGTTGACAGTACTAGTCAATAGTAAAACTGAGCTCTGGTGCCATGCCAGCTATGCTATCCCCAGGAATGTATGCTGGGGAAAGTTGATGTGTATATTCATCAAGAACAAGTGCAAGAATGTTAATGGCAACTTTGTTTAATAAAGACATGGGAACATAGCAACATGAATCACCAATGATAGTAACCTGGATAAATAAATTGTAGTATAGTTGTACAAATTGATCTATATTATAACAATGAAAACTAATGAGTCTTAGTTTGAATGAATCTCAAAAAAAAAATGTAGTGTTGAGTAAATAAAAAAGAATCACAGAGAAGTAAATATCATTCTGTTTATATAAAATGTAAGATAAACACATTATATTGTTAAGTTCTGCATACATTTATGATAAATAAACCATGGACAAAATGATTAAACAATGATTATGAAAATTGGGGTAATGATTACCTGGAGTGGAAAGATGATTGTGGGCCTTGAGTTATTGACAGTGTTCCCTTCATAAGCTACATCCTAGGTGCACAAAAAAATGTGCGTGTGATTATTCCTAAACCATATGCTCATAATTTACAGTTCATTTGTGTGCTAATTTTCACATTAAAATACTTAAAAAGAAGAATTCATTAAAAATTATGACTCTTGGGGCTGAGGTTGTGGCTCAGTGGTAGAGCACTTGCCTAGCATGCGTGAGGCACTGGGCTGGGTCCCTGGCACCGCTTAAAAACAAACAAATAAAATAAAGGTATGTGTCCATCTACAACTAAAAAAAGCTTAAAAAATTACTTGACTCTTGGTCTTTTTACAAATTTACAAATAAGTCATCTTCTTGGAGACTTAAGATAGAGAATAACTTTTTACTTCAAAATAATTCCAAACTCACAGAAAAATTGCAAGAATGGTACTTGAAACCCTTGCTTATTTTTTTCCTAGATTCACTTTATGTTAATATTTTATCTTACTTGCTTTATTGTTAGATTTATTGCCTCTTAACACATACACATTTATGTCTAAACTATTCAAGAAGAAGCTGTATACATTATGCCCCTTTCCCTCTAGGTACTTCATTATATATTTCCTCAGAAAAAGGACATTCTATTATGGAGTCACAGTACAGTTGTCAATGTCAGGAAATTAAACATTCAAAAAATACTTTAGAAAAAAATCTACCATCCACATTCCACTTCATCAACTGCCCTCATAATGTCTTTGATAGCATTTGATTTTTCCTCCACTAGAGGTTGCAGTGCACGTATCAGTTATGTTCTTTAGTCTCTTTCATCTGGAACAGTTTCTTAGCCTTTGTTTATCCTTTATGACAATGATACTTTTGAAGAATACTGATTTTTTAAGACAATGATTTCATTTTGAGTTTGGTGTTTTCTCATGATTATACTCATGTTAAGGATTCCTAATCAAAATGCTATATAAATAGCATTCATCTCAGAATATCACATCTTAAGGTGTACAATATCTACTTGACTGTCTGTGGTGATATTAATTTTGATAATTTAGCCATGATGTGTATTTTCTCTACTCTAAGGGTGAGGATTTCTTTGGAGAAAGCTGCTGGGGGGGACTGAACCCTGCTCTCTTCTAATGGAGAGAAGTAGGTGATTTCCCCCTCATCTCAAGTCAAAAGAGAAAAGCTTCAATGAGAATAATTCAGCAATCTTCCAGTGTTATCTTCTAAATTTATTAGGTCACAGTTCACTGATGTCTGATTCCTTATCAGGGAATCTGGAGAGAGCAGGGGGCTGTCTTGGTGCTTGGAGGTGAGCAGAGGAGAGTTACTAATAGATAAGAATTAGCTTGTTCTTTCGGAATTTGTTAGGCAACAATGGACTGGATGTGAAGGACAGCTATTTAGGGTCATTTCATTATCTGAGTTACAGACCACCTAAAGGACAGAAGCTGGCAGAGGCCCATTGAATTTCCTTACCTCTTTGCAAAGTACACTCTTGCAGGTCAAGGGTACTGCAGGAGATTTGGGATGGGGGTATCTCCTAAGAACCCATGGAGGGCTCCAAATGGGAGTCAGCTTTCAATATCTGCAAGACCAGAAGGATGAAGCCATCTTAGGACTTACCTGTAGAATAAGAACATTGCTCTGCCTCTCCACTGGGTGAAAGAGAAGTTAGTAAAAACCACAGGAGGAAGGTGGCAGCTGAGGGACAGAGAGCCATGCTTCCCTCTGGCACTGCAAGATATTAGCCCACTGCAAGATATTAGCCCACTGCAAGATATTAGCCCACTGCAGGCCCCATTGGGGAGAGGACAGGGTCTAACATGCAATTAACTTTGAAGCTTTCATCATTTCATAGGATCAAACATGAAACTGTTTGTGATTTAAAGCAACTACAGGACTTTTAATTAAGTAAGAATGGTCAGAAAAGTCATGTCACTGCTTGAGTTTTTATTTGGGGGATGGGGAGAACTTACTGGAATAAATTTCATTTATTGTTTGAAAAATATTTTTGAATAGGTAAAATATTACATAATCCAAAATTAAAATGGTATGAAAAGTGTACACAGAAATTTCTACTCACATCTGTTTTAAAAGGTAGACATTTTTATGTGCTTATTATTTGTTGTTCTAATATATTTTTTCTTTCTTTCTTTCTTTCTTTCTTTCTTTCTTTCTTTCTTTCTTTCTTTCATTTTTGTAGTACTATAGATAAAATTCAGGGCCTCTCACATGCTAGGCAAGTGCTCTGTCACTGAGCCATGTCCCTAGCTCTCTGATATTCCTTTATACAAATACAAGAAAATATGAATATGTAATCTATGCTCTTGTTTCTCACAGAAAGGAACATACTGTTTAAAACCTGATCTTTTTTAAAAATTTTAATTGTGGTAAAATGTACATAACATTAAAAGCTTATTTATTTTTTTTGTATGGCAATACAGGGGATTGAACCCAGGGGTTCTCTGCCACTGAAGACCCCAGTCCTTTTTATTTTTTTCAAATTTCTATATTTTTATTGTTTGTTATTTTTATTTAAACTTTCCCAGAAGAAAAGAGTGGAAGAAAAAGAGGTTTGATCCCATGGGAAGATTCGATTCTCTGGGACTCACTCTTTCTATTCCATCTTTTCCTTAAAGATCCTTTAGAGATCTTCTACTTCAAGACAGATAGACATGTCCTACTTCAGGTTTGACAGCTGTCCAGGAGAAAAACATTCCCATTCTCCAGACCTGTAACATATCATGTCACACCACCAGATATATTATTTGCAAATATTTTCCTTTATCCTATGGGTTATTTTACTCTTTTGATAATATATTTTGATGAAAATTTTTTGTTTTTAGTATTGGGGATTGAACCCAGGGCACTTAACCACGAAGCCATTACCAGCCCTTTTAATTTTCTTTTTTGAGACAGGGTCTTGCTAAATTGTCCAGGCTAGGCTCAAACTTGAAATACTCCTGCCTTAGCCTCCCAAGTCTCTGAGATTACAGGTGTGTGTCACTATGCCCAGCTATTTTGAGACAGGGTTTTGCTTAATCAAAAATGTTAAATTATGTCTTTTTTTTCTTTTGTTGTCTATACTTTTGGTATCATATCCAAGAAAAAATGCCCTACTTAATGTCATGAGAATTTTCTCTGGAATATGGGTTGCTATCCCTATGGCTGACTGCTGGGAGGATAATGGTCAGTAGCCACTATGTCAAAGGTCAAGTTTTATAAGGCTCTTTGTAGAGCTTGGCCTTGGATGTTGCAAGTGTTTGGACTATAAAATTCCAAAGTAGTTACTTCAGACAGTTCTGCCAATTGCGTGCTTGTTCAGGTGGAAGGATGGATTCCTGGAGTCTCCTGGATGTGTAAATTCCTGGATATGCTTTAAAAAACAAACTTGACAATATATCCTGGAGATCTATTTATGTATCAGTTCATTCAGATCTTTCTTATTCTGTTTAATAGCTACATATATTCTGTAGAATGGGTACACCATGGCTTATTCAACACATTATCCAATCATTCTTTTTTTTTTTATGTATGACAGCGGAATACATTACAATTCTTATTACATATATAGAGCACAAGTTTTCATATCTCTGGTTGTATACATAGTATATTCACACCAATTCGTGTCTTCATACCTGTACTTTGGATAATAATGATCATCACGTTCCACCATCAATAATTACCCCATGCCCTCTCCCTTCCCCTCCCATCCCTCTTCCCTATCTAGAGTTAGACTATTCCTCTCATGCTCCCTCTCCCTATCCCACTATGAATCAGCCTCCTTATATCAAAGAAAACATTTTTTTTTTTGGTGGGGATTAGCTAACTTCACTTAGCATTATCTTCTCTAACTCCATCCATTTACTTGCAAATGCCATGATTTTATTCTCTGTTATTGCTGAGTAATATTCCATTTTTATATGCCACATTTTTTTTTACCCATTCATCTATTGAAGGGCATCTAGGTTGGTTTCATAGTTTAGCTATTGTGAATTGTGCTGCTATAAACATTGATGTGGCTGTGTCCCTGTAGTATGGTATTTTTAAGTCCTTTGGGTACAGACCGAGGAGAAGAATAGCTGAGTCAAATGGTGGTTCCATTCCCAATTTTCCAAGAAATCTCCATACTGTTTTCCATATTGGCTGCACCAATTTGCAGTCCCACCAGTAGTGTATGAGTGTACCTTTTCCCCCATATCCTCACCAACACTTATTGTTGTTTGTCTTCATAATAGCTGCCATTCTGACTGGAGTGAGGTGAAATCTTAGAGTGGTTTTGATTTGCATTTTTCTAATTGCTAGTGATGATGTGATTTTAAAAATCTTGTGTGTAGATGTGTATATATGTGTGTGTATAAACATATTACCTATACAGGTATGTCTGTAGGGACTTATTTCTGAAATCAGAAATGCTAGGTCAGAGTAAATGCACTTTCAGTTGTAAATATTGCTAAAAGATCATTCATGGGAGTTGTATCCTCAAAATACCATGAGCAATGTATGAGAGAGCCTGTTTCCCCAAATTTGTAATTTAAAAGTTTCAATTTTAAACTTTTAAAATTTTGCCAATTTGGTAGGTGAGAAATGTCATCTGAATGTAATTTTACTTTGTATCTTTCTTATGAGTGAAGGTGTGTATGTTTTCAGATATTGCAGAAGTGAGTTCCTTAGAAAAATTGAAGAGGACACAATGAACAGAAATTAAATGATCTTCTTTGGTCTTGTCGTTCAGGGTAGTGCTTATGATCCTAACTGGGGAAGTTGTTGCTGGGAGTGGAATTTGCTGCTGCTTCACAGGAGAAGACAGAGCAGGAGTGAGAAGAGTGGAGAACTAACTTGCAAGCTGGGGTAGGAGAAACTTTCTTTAAAAAAAAATTCAGAATGAATTGAAATTATCATAACTTCAACTGTCCTCACATTCTTGATTGTTTCCTTTGTTGTGAAGAAACTTTATGGTTTGATAGCATCCATTTATTGATTCTTGATTTTACTTCTTGCGCTTTAGGAGTTTTGTTGAGGAATTTGGTTGAAGAATTTGGTTTCTCAATGGAATGGTGTTTCTCAGTTTCCCCATCCTTAATTAAAAAAAAAAACTTGTAAACTGACAAATTTTAGTTGTATATATTTTTAGAGTACAAAGTGCTATTATGACAGTGTAGAATAATTAAACTAATTAACTTAGACATCACCCTTAAACTTACCATTTTTGTGATAAGAACATTTGAAATTCACTGTCAGTAATTTTGAAATGTACAGTTCATTATCATGTACTATATTCTCTATATTGTGCATATATCTCAAAGAAATAAACCCCTTACTGCTCCTAATTGAGGTTTGTACCTCTATTTTTTGTACCTCTATTTTTTCTCCCAGTATTGGGGATTGAATTAAGTGTTATGCTACCACTGATCCACATCCCCAGTCCTTAAAATTTTTTGGGGGGATACCAGGGATTGATCAGGGGTACTTGAACACTGAACCACATCGCTAGTCCTAGTTTGTATTTTATTTAAGGACAGAGTCTCACTAAATTGCTTAGCACCTCACTTTTACTGAGGTTGAACTCGTAATCCTCCTTCCTCAGCCTCCCAAGACTCTGGGATTACAGGCATGATCCACTGAGCCCAGCACAATTTTTTGTTTTGACACAGGCTCTCACTAAGTTGAGTAGGATGAGATCCTCCTGCCTCAGTCTCCTGAGTTGCTGAGAGTAGAGACATCTTCTACCATACCCAGCGTATATCCCATCCTTTTAATGGCTTTGAGGGAAAGCTAAGTATGACTATTATAAGATATGAATTAAAGTAGCTACAGAATTTTTTTCATTTTACAAAGTTGAAACTCTATACCCATTAAACCTAACTTCCCATTTTGCCTTTTCAGTTCCTGGCAACAACCATTCTATTTTTTTATTTCTATGAATTTGAATACTTTAGATATTACATATAAGGAAAATTATACAATATTTTCTTTTTGTAACTGGTTTATTTCACATAGCACAATGACTTTAAGGTTCATGTACATTGTAGCATATGGCAGCATTTTCTTCCTTTGTATATATGCACCACATTTTGTTTATCCATCTCTTGACTGCTGTTTGAGTTACTTCTACCTCGTGGCTATTGAGAGTAATGTTTCTGTAAACTTGGTGTGCAAATATATCTTTGACATTTTGCTTTCAATTCTTCTGCATATATATCCAGAAGTGGAATTGATGAATCATATGGTAATGCAATTTTTAAGTTTTTGAGGAAACTTCACACCACTTTCCATAGCTATTATACCATTTTATCTTATTTTGTTCTTTGTGAACAAAGAAGACATGACAATAGAATGTATTTTATTTTATTAAAAAAATTTTTTTAGTTGTAGATGGACACAATATCTTTATTTTATTTTTATGTGGATCGAACCCAGTGCCTCATGCATGCTGGGCAAGCATTCTACCACTGAGCCACAACCCCAGCCCCTAGAATGTATTTTTAAAAATTTTTTTGTAGTTGTAGATAGACAGCATGCCTTTATTTTGTTTGCTTATTTTTGTATGCAGTGCTAAGTATCAAACTCAGTGCCTCACATGTGCTAGGCAAGTGCTCTGCCACTGAGCCCCAGCCCCAACCCAGAATGTATTTTGACGAATCATACATACATGGAGCATAACTTCCCATTTTATTGGTTATGCATGATGTGAAGTTACATTAGTCATGAATTCTTATATGGACATAGAAATGTTGTATCTGATTCATTCTACTATCTTTCCTGTCTCCATCCTTTCTCCTTTTCCCCCACTCTGCCCTGTCCAGTCTGGTGAATATGCTATTCTCCACCTCCTACCTATTATGAGTCATCATTCAAATATCAGAGAGAACATTTGGCCATTGTTTTTATGGGATTGGCTTATTTCACTTAGTGTGATAGTCTCCAGTTCATCCATATACCAGCAATGCCATCCTTTCATTCTTCTTTATGTCTGAGTTATATTCTATTGTGTATATATAACACATTTTCTTTATCTGTTGAAGGGCACTTAGGTTGATTCCATAGCTTAGCTATTGTGAATTGAGCTACTATAGACATTGATGTGGCTGTGTCACTCTAATATGCTGATTTTAAGTTCTCTAGGTATATGCTAAGCAGTGGGGTAAGTGGGTCAAATGGTTGTTCCATTCTGAGTTTTCTGAGGGATCTCCATACTGATTTTCATAGTGGTTGCATCAACTTGCAGTCCTACCAGCAACGTATGAATGTACCTTTTCCCCAACACCCTTGCCAATACTCATTGTTGCTTGTATTCTTGATAATTGCCATTCTGACTGGAGTGATATTAAATATCAGTGTAGTTTAATTTGCATTTCTCCAATTGCTAGTGATGTTGAGCAGTTTTTCATGTATTTGTTGATTCATCATATTTCTTCTGTGAAGTGTCTGTTCAATTACTTTGCCCATTTATAGATTGGGTTATTTGTTTTATTTTATTTTATTTTTTTTGAGTTCTTTATATATCCTGGAGATTAATGCTCTGAGATGTAGATGGCAAATATTTTCTGCCATTTAGTAGGTGCTGTCCTCACATTCTTGATTGTTTCCTTTGTTGTGAAGAAACTTGATGGTTTGATACCATCCCATTTATTGATTCTTGATTTTACTTCTTGCGCTTTAGGAGTTTTGTTGAGGAATTTGGTTCCTAAGCTGACATGATGTAGATTTGGGCCTACTTTTTCCTTCTAGTGAAGGGTCTCTTGTCTAATACCTAGGTCCTTGATCCACTTTGAGTTGATTTTTATGCAGGGTAAGAGCGGTTTAATTTTATTTTGCTGCATATGGATTTTTAGTTTTCCTAATACCATTTGTTGAAGAGGTGATCTTTTCTCAATGTTTATTTATATTCCTTTGTCTAGTATGAGATAACTGTATTTATGTGAGTTTATCTCTGTGTCTTCTATTCTGTACCATTGGTCTTCATGTATGTTTTGATGCCAATCCTATGTCATTTTTGTTACTACAACTCTGTTGGATAATTTAAGGTCTGGTATAGTGTTGCCTCCTGATTCACTTTTTCTTGCTGAGGGTTGCTTTGGCTCTTCTGGGCCTCTTGTTTTTCCAAATAAATTTTATCACTGCCTTTTCTATTTCTATGAAGAGCAGCATTGGAATTTTAATAGGAATTGCATTAATTCTGTATAGTGCTTTTGGTAGTGTGGCCATTTTGACAGTATTAATTCTTCCTATTAAAGAACATGGGAGATCTTTCCATCTTCTAAGGTCTTCTTCAATATCTTTCTTTAGTGTTCTGTAGTTTTCATTGTAAACGTCTCCACCTCTTTTGTTAAATTGATTCCCAAGTATTTTACTTAATTTTTTTGAGGCTATTGTGAATAGAGTAGTTTTCCTAATTTTTTTTTCAGTTGATCCATCACTAATGTATAGGAATGCAATTGATTTATGGGTGTTAATTTTATATCCTGCTACTTTGCTGAATTAATTTATAAGTTCTAGAAATTTTCTGGTGGGTTTTTTTTGGGGGGGTCTTCTAAATATAGAATCATGTTTTTGGCAAATAGAGATAGCCTGAGTTCTTTTCTTTTCCTATTCATATCCCTTTAATTTCTTTCTTCTGACTAATTGCTCTGGCTGGAGTTTCAAAGATTATGTTGAGTAGAGGTGATGAAAGAGGGCATCTCTATCTTGTTCTAGTTTTTAGAGGGAGTGCTTTCAATTTTTCTTCATTTAGAATGATGCTTGCCTTGGGCTTAGCATAAATAGCTTTTACAATGTTGAGGTGTATTCCTACTATCCCTAGTGTTTCTAATTTGTCAAATGCTTTTTCTACATCATAAAGATACTGAGATAACCATGTAATTCTTTAAGTCTATTGATATGATGATATACATTTATTGATTTCCATATTTTGAACTATCCATGCATCCTTGGGATGAACCCCACTTTATCATGGTACACTATCTTTTTAATATGTTTTTGTATGTAATTTGACATTATTTTATTAAGAATTTTTTGCATTCATGTTCATCAGGGATATTGGTCTGAAGCTATTTTTTTCTTGATGTGTCTTTGCCTGGTTTTGGTTTCAGGTGATACTGGCTTCATGGAATGAGTTTGGAAGGGTTTCCTCCTTTTTTATTTCATGGAATAATTTGAGGAAGATTGGTGTTAGTTCTTTGAAGGCCTGGTAGAACTCAACTGAGAATACATCTGGTCCTGTGGTTTTCTTTCTTGGTAGGCTTTTGATGGTGTCTTCCATTTCATTGCTTGAAATTGATCTCTTTAGATCTTCTGTGTCTTCCTGATTCAATTTGGGTAGGTCATATGTCTGTAGAAATTTGTTATGTCTTCAAGATTTTCTATTAGAGTATAAATTTTCAAAATAGTTTCTGATTATTGTCTGTATTTCAGTAGTGTTTGTCATGATATTTCCTTTTTCATCATAAATTTTAGTAATTTGCGTTTTCTCTCTGTTTCTGTTTGTTAGCTTGGGTTAGGATCTATCAATTTTATTTATTTTTTCAAAGATCCAACTTTTTGTTTTGTTGAATTTTTGAATAGTTTTCTTCCCCCAATTTCATTGATGTCAGCTCTGATTTTAATTATTTCTACTGCTTTTGGTGTTGGTTTGTTCTCCTTTTTCTAGGGCTTGAGATGTAATGTTAGTTTATTTATTTCTAGATTTTCTTTTCTTTTAATGAATGAGTTCAATGCAATGAACTTTCCACTTAGAACTGCCTTCATAGTATCCCAGAGATTTTAATATATTGTTTTGCAGGGCTGAGGTTGTAGCTCAGTGGTAAAGCACTTGGCTAGAACATGTGAGGCACTGGGTCCAATTCTCAGCA